TCAAATACTTATTTCCCCCACTGTATATCAAAGATAGAAAAAGCGTTTCTACAGAATTTTATATATTTATATATATATTTGTATCATATTTCATATATACGATTTACGAAAAATTTAGCATCTGAGACCTTTTGCATAATTTCATGGTAAAAACTTTGTTCAAAACCTTGTTGTACACAGTCAGGTATAGCTATAAAAGCGTGAAGAAGACTATGCACAATCATTCTGACTTAGCAGAAGGCAATAAATGACGAATATTAAAAAATAATTCAGGTTTTTTCTCATATATGTTGTGAAGGGTCAAATAAAGACTTCAACAATAACAAAAAATGTCCAATTTTTTTCTTGGATTGGGCTTTAAAGGGTTAAATGGTTTGAGTTATTGACAGTAGAGACAATTAATTCATTCAAGTTTAGTCAACTTAAATGTTCAATAGTCATAATTGAACATTTTCAAGTTAGATACACTTAAATGGTTTAAGTTATCAAACTGGAAATGTCTAGTGGATTCTACTTGAAACTACAATAGTCCAAATGTAAGATTATAAATCAAATACTTTAACCCTTTAAAGCCTGATCCAAGAATAAAACAAAACAGAAAATTACTTTTTTCTGGTTTTTAGTCTGTATTTGGTCTTTTAACAAAATATGTAAAAAGAAAAAACAGAAACACATTTCTAATATTAATAATTTATTACTATGCGATAAGTCAAGATTATTTTTTGTGTAGTCTTCTGCCCCCTGTTATCAGGTGTATCTGATTGTGTACAATAGGATTTTGAGCAAAGTTTTTACCATCAAATTATGCAAAAAAAACCATTTCAGAAACACTATGAATCAGATATGATACATTTGGCATTACGGGGTTAAAAATGTGAATATATTACATTTTAAAGCATTATAATGACCACACAATGCAGTACATGTCATTTATTTTATTTAGCATCATAAACCTTACAGCCCCTTATTATGACGCAACAACAGGGGGTCCCGCGCGTGGCCTGCGCGTGCACAAAGACGCCAATTGTTCCCATAAAGACGAATCACCTCATTTTAAGTCATATGCAAATTGCGGCGCGTGCGTGGTTCGCGGATAAATCCCAGGCGCGCGTGGCCGTTGGGACATTGGCACCTGCGTCCTCCACGCGCGCAGACATGAAAACCCACGCGCTCCCGGAGCCCAAACTCCCGGAAACCCGCAGGACCCCGTTCTCCGTGGAGGACATCCTGGACCCGGGGAAGTTTACCGGGAAACGAATGGACTCAGGTGAGAAATCTGAGGACTTCCGGGAGTTTCCGGCCCTTTAAAGGCGCGTGCCTGATGTTTGGGTCTGATCAAAGTACTGGAGTAGAAGTAAATTGGATAAAAAACTTACTTGAGTAAAAGTAGAAGTATTCTTTCAACATAAATCTTTAGTGGAAGTATGGAAGTACTCCATTTTTTTTTTACTTGAGTATTGCAAGTAGAAGTATTTCAAAAATTGCTACTCAAGTATAAGTAAAAGTAAAAAATATTAAAAAAGGCAGTAAAAAGTGTGATAGATATTGTTTATATCTGCTGATATTATTTATATTAGCTGCTACGTCCTGAGCAGAGATGTATAAAGTACTCGAGTAGAAGTACAAGTAGATAAAAAAAACTGACTTGAGTAAAAGTAGAAGTATTCTTTCAACATAATTCTTAAGTGGAAGTACGGAAGTACTCCATTTTTTTTGTACTTAAGTTTTGCAAGTATTTCAAAATTTGCTACTCAAGTATCGAAAGTACAAGTATAAGTAAAAGTACAAGTACTGTGTATATTAAAAAAGTACTAATTTCTTTTTGTACATAAGTATTACAAGTCAAAGTATTTCAAAAATTGCTACTCAAGCAGCAAAGTACAAGTAGAAGTAAAAGTAAAAAATATTACAAAAGGCAGTCAAAAGTTTGCTAGATATTGTTGATATTATTTGAAGTATTCAAAAAATTGCTACTAAGTATTGAAAGTACAAGTATAAGTAAAAGTACAAGTACTGTGTTTATTAAAAAAGGCTTGATAGATATTGTTTATATTATTTCAAACGTGTGAAAGGCCATACAGGTGTTTACAAAAAACAGAAAACTACATCTGCATTAGCAATTTTAAAGCACTTCATCTACAAATGGACTCAGGTGAGAAATCTGAGGACTTCCGGGGTCTGTTTCAGGTAGAGGTGATTAAAGTAATGGAGTAGAAGTACAAGTAGATAAAAAAAACTGACTTGAGTAAAAGTAGAAGTGTTCTTTCAACTTAATTCTTAAGTGGAAGTACGGAAGTACTCAATATTTTTTGTACTTAAGTATTGCAGGTAGAAGTATTTAAAAAAATTGCTACTCAAGTATCGAAAGTATACAGTATAAGTAAAAGTACAAGTGCTGTGTATATTAAAAAAGTACTCATTTTTTTGTACATAAGTATTACAAGTCAAAGTATTTAAAAAATTGCTACTCAAGCAGCAAAGTACAAGTAGAAGTAAAAGTAAAAAATATTAAAAAAGGCAGTCAAAAGTGTGATAGATATTGTTTATAATATTTCAAACGTGTGAAAGGCCATACAGGTGTTTACAAAAACAG